ATGTATCTTACTTGGATCGCGATGGAAACTTGTGGTAAACATAAATTATATTTCGTTGCAGGTGTCTCAGATACTTAAGTACTGCGATTCGAGGCGTTTAGCTGTTGTTCCTCAAGGAGGAAACACCGGTCTTGTTGGTGGAAGTGTGCCTGTGTTTGATGAGGTTATACACTTATTTTTCTCTACTGATGTTGATTGTGATGATGAAAAATGTTGGATAAGTTAGTTTCAAAGCTAGCAAAAATATATAAGAAGCTTTGCGGTGACAAATTTGTGGCATCTTTGCAGGTGATCATCAATGTTGGTTTGATGAATAAAGTCTTAGCTTTTGATGAGGTAACTGGCAATCGTATATTCAGAACAACTGCTGCTCCTGTAATTTTGTGGTCTAATTTTGATGAAAATGGAGATTACAACTTTTCATTCTTGTGTCAGTTGCTTCATTATTACATTTGAGTAATGTAACTATATACTTGATGATGATACGATGCTCTATCTTCAGGTTAGCGGCGTCTTGGTGTGTGAAGCTGGATGCATTTTGGAAAATCTGGCAACTTTCCTCGACACGAAAGGGTAATATAACCATGTCTTTGATAACTAATAGAAGAATGTTGTTTTGTTACTCAACTAGCTCGTTTTTTTGTCAGATGTAAGCAACATAAATTAATGTTTCCTCAGTTTTGTTATGCCTCTGGACTTAGGTGCAAAAGGAAGCTGCCATATAGGTGGAAATGTTTCTACTAATGCTGGTGGTTTGCGCCTTATTCGCTATGGCTCACTTCATGGAACCGTATTGGGTATTCAATCACAGTTCGACTGACTTCTATCTATCTGAAATTCTTTTGGGTTTCACTTTCCTCATCTTTATTTTCTTACTATCTCAGGTCTAGAAGCTGTCACAGCAAATGGCAATGTGCTTGACATGCTTGGGACTTTACGCAAAGATAATACTGGGTACGACTTAAAACATTTGTTTATCGGTAGGTATTATTTTTGCCTTTTGCTTGTACCATGATTTCAAATGTCACTTCATTACCAAAAGAGACTAAAACATCTTGATTTTTTCTCTTTACTGGTTTCCATAGGTAGTGAAGGATCACTTGGTATTGTAACTAAAGTTTCTATACTCACACCACCAAAGATGCCTTCTGTAAATTTAGCCTTTATCGCGTGCAAAGATTATCTCAACTGCCAGGTTTAACACAATTCTTCTGTGCTCTTGTAAATGAATTCTCTTTACTGGTGGAGATGTCTCTCGTTATGTTTTTTTCTTTTACCAGAAACTTCTTGTTGAAGCAAAGAGAAATCTTGGAGAGATATTATCCGCTTTTGAGTTTCTCGATAACCATTCGATGGATTTGGTAAGCTTTCAGGAACAGATACTTTATCTTGCGTACAAGTCTATGATTTTTGCTAAACCCTTTAGCTTTGATTTATTCTCCAGGTACTGAACCACCTAGATGGTGTACGTAATCCAGTTTCCTCTTCAGAGAACTTTTATGTTCTGATAGAAACTACAGGAACTGATGAAACATATGACAGGTAAAAAGAATTTGTCTTAGCCTCCATCGGGACTTTTCACTTTTTTCGGAAACAGTTAGATGAGGAGGCTCTCTCTTTGAAGTATTCAGATACTTTGAGAGAGTTTTGACTGATTCAGAAACTAATATAGGGAGAAGCTTGAAGCATTCTTATTAAAGGCATTCGAAAAAGGTTTAGTTTCTGATGGTGTAATTGCTCAAGACATAAATCAAGCATCTTCATTTTGGTACATAAGAGAGGTAAACCATTAAACATTTCCTCTGNGAAATCTCGGTGTCACACGACGAATAATATTCGTAATTACATTTGCAGGGTATTACAGAGGCGTTACAGAAAGCAGGAGCTTTTTACAAGTATGACTTATCCTTACCCGTTGAAGAGATTTACAATATTGTCAACGACCTTCGAGTGAGATTAGGTAAGAACTCTATCACTGCACTGTTTTATAATTTAAAAGTTTCAACGAAAACTGAAACCAAACACGCATATTCTTCAGGTGACTCAGCGAATGTTATGGGATATGGTCACCTTGGAGATGGAAATCTGCACTTAAACATCTCAGTCAAAGAATATAACGATAAGGTAAATACAAATATCGAAATGAAACATTCCAAAATGTCCAAAATGATTCATTTGCTTCACTCTTTTTCTTGCAGATTTTAGGTTTAATAGAACCATATGTCTATGAATGGACATCAAAGCACCGTGGAAGCATCAGCGCAGAACATGGATTAGGTGTAATGAAAGCTAATGAAATCTTCTACAGCAAATCACCCGAAACCGTGAGTTTTAACAAACAACTTCGAATCAAACATTCATATAGAACTTCCGGGTCACTCTATTCTTACCGGAATATAACATTTGCAGGTTGCATTGATGGCTTCTATTAAAAAGTTGCTGGACCCTAAAGGAATTCTCAACCCATACAAAGTTCTTCCTCACTCTGTCTTCTCTCACTAAGGTAAAAAAAAAAGATGATTATGCTTTATGATTACGCACCGAAATTATTGAAAAGCATCTAATCCAACGTCAAAAGTGAAGAAGAATCATCATCATCATTTACTTTTGGAATCATTGACATTCTTGTTTCGAATGAATGCAAGGTGGTGATGAGATGATTCTTCAAAAAAAGGAATTTGGAATATGAGTAAGACAAGTTTAAGTGAGCAAATATGATTGATGCAAAGGTACAGAAAAAAGATAAATAATTGTTGATTTGAAAGTTCTTGAAACTCAAAAGTGTATATGCTTCTTCTTTGTTGTTGTTGTTAATATATTATCATTTAAGATAAGCAAGAATAAAAAACTTGTGGATTTCTTACGTGTATAAGTCAAAGTTTGCATTGTATTTAGACCAAAACTCGAAAAGAGAAGAATCTGTATCATGATAACATTTTTTTCAAGAATCTCTCATACAATATCTTTCTATTCTTGGCAGTTTCGGTTACATTGATTTCCTGACAAAAAGACACTGAAATTTTGGTATTTCTTCGTGTTTACCATAAAAAAATCATGATTTGTAATAATGAGTCAAATTTGATATAGTCAAGTTATTGAGACAAGTTGTTTAAACTTTTGAAACAATCCATTCAAAATAAGGTCCAAGAACAGATAATGAAAGCAATGCATCATCATCAATACAAATTTCGAGGAAATGAATCAAATGATAATGATAGTAAGAAATACTATTAATTTAGGAAAATATGGTTTACTGAAAATAAAATTTGGAATTGTTTTTGTGTGATAATATTCCAAAACTGATCGTGATCGTGAGAGAGTTGCAAAAGCGTGTTTAAAGATTCGGTTCTCCAACACAAGTGGAAAGTCTTGAAACTAGAAGTCGACAGGGTTAAACGACGTCAGTTTGATGACTGGACATAGATCAAAACACTTTAAACTCACGTATGAAGATGATGATGATAAGACAGTATATAAAAAGCTCATGGATATGGCTAAGGAGACAAAA